TCACCCTCAAGGCACCCCTAAAGGTATTTTGGGTCAAATAATCGTCATTTTTACGTGTTTTTTTTGTCCCATATTACAAACGCAACCATCATTTTATCCGGTTTCCGGGGTTGAGTACCCGAATCATGACGCTTATTTGACACGATTTGAGGGCAATATTGTCATAGTCAGGGTCACGATAGAGGTCACCAGCGGAGGTGAATCGTACGTCAATTATAGGTAACAAACATTAAACACTAAAGACTTAGACATAATACTCACTTTTTAGGGATTTGTGGGCCTCTGAGAACCGATTGCTGATCTAATTTTGGCGATTTGAGACATAGTTGACGCACATTTTGGGGTTAAGGTCAAGTTTCAGCAGTGTACTACGATAAAAAATAAACAACAGATTATTCCAGGATCATTTTTATTAAAGTAATTCAGACTAAAGTATTCAACTGGCATCTTCGCTATTCCCCAACAGCCACCCACTTCCCGCGATTTGCAAGGGACCCCGTAGCCTCGGAAAACACCGGCGTGGTTGCATTTGCGACCTTCCTGTGGCATGCCTTGAGGCAGGCATCGCGTGCAAGAGAATGGGACATGTAACTGAAGCGGTCGCTGAGAGTGGTCATAGTGGTTGCGATGTACTGGTGCACTTGTGCCATCACCCACTCACATGAAGGTCAGGAATTCTTGCGCTGAACCGAGGTGCAAGCCTGACTTCGGCAGTAGAAATGTGGCCTGTAGTAACGCTGCATTCATCACATGCTGGAACAGTGGCTGCTTGGGTAGGGCTTCCGTGATCTGCTTCCAGTGGTTGAGAGGCGATGCCCTGGCTCATTGACACCAGCTTGCCCGCTACCCCTTGCTGTACATGAGTACCCACGAGAGCGTTCGAATCTGCTGGGCATATGTACAGACACCGATTGGCAGATGAAGTGGTCAAGGGTCGGTGTGAGAGCCACTAGTAGTGTCGTGAGTTCGTCATGCCTTGTCGCAGGCAGCCGCAGGCCGGTCTTCTTGGCCACATCAAGAAAACTGTGAAGTGTGTCACATCTGTAGGCCTGTGGAAGAGGGGTAGTGCAAGGACTTTGAAGGACGAGATTGGAGGGCGCGATGGGTATGGACTGGAATATCACGGTACTTTTTTACGCAGTACCGAACCCCACCAGAGCTCTGATAGGCCGAGGTTCGAAAACTGGATTGCAAAAGCAGCTGATAAAACAGTGTCACCATGGCGAACATAGGCTGTTAGTATGACCTGCTTGCGGCATAATGCCAGATGCGTAAGATCCTTGTGTCGGCCTCGGAATGGTTCAGCGGTCTGAAGTGTTGTGAGGTATCAATGCTTGTTGAGAGCTACTGGTCTCGAAACGGGTACTCAGGCGGAGCTTTCCAAACACCATTGTCGTTCTTTGAGATGCTGTGTGCTGATAATGAGAAGAGCCCTTCTTGTTTCTCGCTTCCTTTGTTTAGGCAAGCCATGTTCCATTCATCGCTTCGGAATTTGAGTGCTGCCATGGCCCCCGAAACCCTTTTTTTTTGTCCCCTTTTTTGTTTTCCCCCCCCCCCCCGTGGCCCTTCCCACGTCGTACTTGCGTAAGAGGCTTTTGAGGTTATTTTCCGTCGGGGTAATTATCCCATACAGCGTCGATGCGTTGGGTTACCACTCTTCATTTGGCCTTCCAGAAATGGTACAGATGGGAAGCGGCAGCATACGTCTCTTGATGTTTTTGGCTGTTTGTGGGGCGGGCACCATGTCGATCAGCTGCTGCCATATCAACACCCAACTGTTGCTTGTTTGGCAGGGCAGCTGTGCGGCAGTGGGTGCATTGAGGATGAAGACATGTCCGACTTTCATCCCAGATCGCGAGCGAACCTGCGATCCGCCAGGCCTTGGTGGCTCTCCTCTGCTTTCGAAGCCGAAAGAAGTCTGTCATGTCTGCTGCGGACACGACTGAAGTGAGAGGAAAAGTGCGTGCTTAAAGGTCATAATTCCTGCATCTGTATGCCAGTTGTTCCTTCTAGCTTTTTTCTTGGGGTCAGGTCGGTTGCGAATGTTAGCAATGTTGTTCGCGCTTGATGGTGTATCAGATACCGGTACTGAAGCTTTTTCGCAGCCTTTCAATGACGGTATGCTGCATGTAGGGCTTGTCAGCTTCATGGATTTGAGTAGCAGAATTAGCAACGGCCTGTTCATGACATGTCTGTGTATGAGTGGCACAAGTCCTGACGTGTAGTGAGTGAAAGGGTTGGCTAGTGCTCGACCACCTGTCGATGAACGATAGTAAGCATCATTCGAAACTTGACTTGCAGAGCTGTGTCTTCCTCATGATGAGGGCAGTGGAATGATGAGGTGGGTCGTGGATGGCCTGCCACCGCCTATCCCGCCCCCGCCCTGCCCCTCGAACTCCTCAACTATCGTGCGCAGGTCCACCCCCCAAGGGGGGAAAAAAAAAAATTGCGCAAGTAAAGCATTGTTTTCTTGTTCGGCGATTCACATTCTCCGAGAATCTGGATTTAAGCAAAGTACAGCGATTGTTTCTTGTTGGCGATTTCGACATTCTCAGACTCTGGCTTCCAGGTAAACCACACAGTACACACAGGCACACGCGCGAGCACGGCGCACGGGCACACGCAGCGACGCACACGTCATCCCACACACAGCACGACGTACAGCTGACGCGCAACAGCGCACGCGCCGCGCACCTACGCAGCAGTCACGACAACACCCACACACACATCGGTCGGGCAATCAGGGCAGAGCGTACCGCCTTGCGCAATCATGCGTGTATCGTGTCGCAAGATCTCTGTGTGAAATGGATGTCGGACGCGTAGTCTAAGGCGGTTCTCATCGAACCAGGTCGCGTAGGCATGCACCGGCCTTATTTTTTATTGGTGGCTCAGCGGGCCACCTACACGCGAACCGTTCAAGGTGTCCCGACGCGTAACCGTTTCAGGTGCCATTGGCACCGGCCGGGCCACCGTTAAAGTCGAGCCCTGCGTCAGTGTGGCATGGCTCCTTATACTAAGGAAACAATAGTTTCTTAATTTTCTGAAAAGTCGTTGTCATCAGGTTCGGCATCGTTTGTCGGCTGGGCAGTGTGTCTTGGGAAGTGTTTGCTGGTGGAGAAACTCTCAAACTTTTTTTGGAATGTGGGGTGACACACCAGAAACACTGCTTTGACGCCCCAAAATGACCTTTAGGTTGTTGACCTTGAAGGGGTGACTTGACTTCGAATCCTATTTATAATTAAGATCATGAATCGGATTTCCTACCCCTAACTAAAAAGTGTATTATGTGTGATGTCTAGCGTTCACTTTTGGTTTTTTACCTATAATTGATCGGTAAGGATTCACTCTCGGTCGGAGTGACTTCTATCGGACGCCTGACATGCGATATTGCCTCAATCGTTCAATATAGGTCAAGATTCGGGATTACTCAACCCCTGAAACTGAATAAAATGAGGTGCTGTTTGTATATATTGACAAAAGAACATGGACAAAAAATAGACATTTGACGCCCCAAAATGCACCTTTAGGGTGACCTTGAGGAGTGAGCTGACCTCAAATCACTGAAGTTACAGATAGAATGAGATTCCAGACCTTGAAAACGACCCTAAAAGTGGTATTGATTTATGATTATAGTTCTTTTGGATGTGTTAACTAGTATTGACCCCGCACCCGGGGTGGTGGCGCATATTGGAATTTGCACATATGGCGGCCCCGGGGATGCGCCCATTCCGGCGCCCGCGCCAGAAATGAAAAGTATGTGTATGGCAACATCTGGGCCAAATTTGGTGCTTTTTGGAAAAATGTGAACCAAACGGCTTTTTAGCCCTACGCACCCCTGACTATCATGGTGATATATCCTTATGTGTCTCAAAGGATGCCAAGGGCCTGAATTTTTTTCGGGCCCCCAAAAAATTTCCGAAAAAATAAAAAAAAAAAATGCGTGCTTAGGAAAAGCATCTCTGGCCGAGCCCCTGTCATTGTTTCAGAACGACAGTGCGTGGTGTGTGGCTGGGGGGTGCGTGTGCGTTGCGCTGGCGCTGGTGTGTGTGTCGGGGGCGTCGTGTGTGTGATGTGTGTGTGATGTGTGCGTGGGCGTGCGTGCGTGCGTGCGTGCGTGCGTGCGTGCGTGCGTGCGTGTGCGTGCGTACGTGCATGCGTGCGCTTCTTCGTGCATACAGTGTATCGCATATACCAGATGCGGAGTCTGCTTGGGAGGCTTCACACGTACATATATACGCGTCTGTGATGTGCATGCTAGTAGAACCTCATGCGGGGCGTCCGCGCCCATCCACACATGAAATCGGCTGGTCCTGTCCTGTGAGCCGCACGCACGCACGCTGCCCATCTGTCTCCATGTAAGCCACGTCGTCGGCACGACCGATACAAGCATCAGCGAGATTTGCTTTCCGTTCACCGTGCTTCACTATTCAGTAATTGTCCTACGTAGTACGTATACGTAACGAGCTGGCCGCATTCAACCGTTAGCGGCAAGTTTCTGCAGCAGCAGCAGCAGCTGCAGTAGTAGAAGCAGCAGCCCGCAAAACACGGTTTACGTTCGGAACCTTTGAAGTAATGTCGAAAAGAAGTTTGCGGGAACGAAAACAGTTTCCGCTTTTCGATTTACTCAGCGACTGCGTCTAATAGCCGGTTATTGGCGGCAAACGAATAAGGGGTTTTGCAACCTTTTAATGTTTAGGCGGACTATATAAAATTACGTTACACGAGACAACATTAAATTGTCGCACAGGAATGAGGTTTTATTAGTTTGATGTTGGTAAATTGCATTGCAAATTGTCATTGCAAAAAAATTTCGATCGACGGGGATAGACGCTCAGTAGTTTGTACACATTGTGTGTAGACTGCATGGCCGCGAACAGCGTTGCATCGCTTAATTCTACGTTAATATGAAATGTGCGTGTTAATCATCGTGCATCATGATTAATTGAATGATTTCATGTTACTCCCGAGTTGCTAATGTTTGTTTTTATATTGCATTTCAGGATAAAGGTACGTACGTAGCAGTGATGTTGTCAGTGTGTGTGCTCTCCACGTTGGTAAGCAGAGTTGTTTAGTTACATACAGTTGGTAATTAAAGGCTCACAATGCGCATCCAAACGCTAATTTCTCCAGTACTAGACTAGCAAATACTTCGTGTCATGCATAATCATACTACCTTATGGCAAAATAAACTCTAGTTCCTCCCATTTCACTGAGCGTTGTCTTATAAAAGGTATTTTGAAAATACCTCCAATGTTGTTGAAATTCTCCGATGTTGTTGACAGTTTCCCCAATCCCCAAGCAACCGCGCAGCGGTGCTGCGGTACAGCGGTACGGGCGCAGCAAAGATAAAAACATGTGACGTCACGTCACCACTTCGAGGCTATTTTGTTTGGCAAACAGTCGGCGTTTGCGCCAGAATGCCAGTTTTCTCACCTCTTTCTTGTGGGTTTTAAGCAAACGCGCAGTGAAATGGGAGCAACTAGAGTTTATTTTGTCATAAGGTAGTGTGATTATGCATGACACGAAGTATTTGCTAGTCTAGTACTGGAGAAATTAGCGTTTGGATGCGCATTGTGAGCCTTTAAACCCACGAAGGTTTAGTCACTTCAATTAATTCGTTGGAAGCCAGTTCTGCAATAGTGTGCTCTCTTATCACCATCCCGATTTTCACTCATATGAACGCCATGTATCTAGAAAAAACATGATGAATTGTTCGGGATCTTACTTCTGTATTGTGGAAAAGATAAGACTCATGTTACTCTGCCTAATGGAGAAAAGCAATCGTATATTGTGTTTGCAAAATCGATACATCGCCGGCTATTGAGTGCAGGCTGCCTAATTGATTAGGGGACACGCCGATTACGTGCATGGTTTGATAGAAATCGCTAATTGTAATGCGAATCTAGTTTGTTTCGAAGATGTAGCCCCTTGTGTGCTACTGCTTTGAACTGGCGTATTTTCCGCAGAGACAAAACCACAGTCAGCCGCAGTGAAACGTACTAAGATCATAAATGTACTTTCATCACTAAGTAATGTTGTATGAATTAGGACGATCCGCCATGCGTGTCGGCAGTACTGTTAGAAGTGTGTGCAATGTGCATTCATGTAAGCTCGGCAAAGCAGCTGCGTGCCACCCGTTCTACACGCGGCTGTTGTCTGCGTGTTTATTTATCTTGGTTAAGCGGATTGCAAACAGAGACGTCATCTTGATAAAAGGTACATAAATTGACTTTGATGACATTTAGATTTTATTGAGGAACGACGGAAAATCGCCAGACTTCAATCGCTCGATAGCGCGGGCGATATCAACCGTGTATTTGTATGCAGACACGCATAGCGATGGGCAAATATTGTAGCAACTGGCAAGACTACATTTAGGAGTGGCAGAAACCTGCCCTGCAGACTATAATTCACACATTGCAGAAATTTAGCCCTTGAATGAGAGTACACGTGTTGGCATGTGGCTGAGTGCATAAACTCATGGTAAATGAATTTTAAATGCCGTATTCATGCCGCGCGCGTGCACGTGTATGCCTACTTCTGAGCACTACAGTATGTGCGTCTACACCGAGGCTCCTTTGTGCGGCTGTATGCAATTCAAAGATGTCAAAAACTCTTTCCACTGAATGCAGAACGCTGCAGAAAAGTCCGCATGAAGCCGCCGGGATTCGCGTAAATCAATGTGATGCCTCGCGCAGGGGGCATGCCAGCCGCACAATGTCATCTCAGGTTTCCTTTTTGCAAATTTGACTTGCTAATCGGTGTATCTGCGCGTGCTTCCTCCGCAGGGATGCTCAGCTGCTCACTTCGCGTTCTGTTCCTAACCAATCACATGTGTATGTACGACTAAGTTTAGCCAGTGGCTAGCAGCAAACAGGCCCGTGTAACTAACAGGAGAAAAGTCCGTACATTTATGGTTCGCCGACCCACACCACACGCACCCACATGGGAAATCAGATGAATATATGTGACTAACTTTACAGATGTCATAAACATTCCCCCACACACACTGCGCTACAATACATGATGGACGGGCGTACACGAAGTTGGTTATTTCAGAGCAAGGTGTGTATATAAGCACCCACCCTATACCTAGTTTCGTGCTATGTACTATTGTTCACCACCACTCGAGTGTTGCGACGATGTGGCTGTGGCACATGAGTTTGCCTGTGGGCCAGGGAGGTCCTTCGTGTGTGCACTGTAGCGGCGTAGCCAGTCCTCACCCCCGCGTCGCCGGAATGCCCAGATCTGTGCAAACACATCGCGGGCTTTCATCTGTCTCTGCATGACCACTTGACCGCATTTTGTTGCGTTAGATTCACGTTGAATTCAGGAACTGGCGTATATTGTGTGTTGATGTAGGGGTGAGCTAGGTAGAAGGAAAAATGAACAGTTATTAAATATATGCCAATGAGTCATCGGTACAGAATTAGGGCGGTAGTGTAGTGATTAAATATCCTGCTTACCTAGTATAATGTCATAGTCCGCTATAAAATATAATTAGTCTACTGTCTAAAGTTTAAAACTAATAATAAAAACAATGCATAAATAGATGCTCGAATGTCATAGCGTGTCACAATTCATAAAATAATAATGATAAATTATTAATAGTTATATCAAGAGCACATAATGTATGGATATAATTTAAATAGCTTGCGCTATTGGTTATATGTTAATTTTTCAACTCCAATTATACGTGTAAAGGGACAGCATACCAGCTGAAATGTAGTGAGACATGCCGTACTGGAGCATTTGAGCAGAGTATACGTAGAATTGTTGGGAGACGTCTGGCACACGAGCACATAGTTTTATTTTATTGACCATTAGCATTTTTTTCTCGGAAATATTCTATGGCGATGGATGCGGGAGTATGGCAGACTGCTTATTCACATACGCGCTCGACTCTCTCCATGTTAGGTCTGCGATATACAATAAACGGATATTGCGTTTTGGATGAATAGCGTTAGTGCTTACCAATGGAACACATTTACTGACATCCGCTCAACAGCATAATCAAGCCGTCGCAAAGGGCAGGCAGAACGAACGTGAATTCAAAAGCTTCTTGTCGTTGTCGCGCTCTCCGATTTCCCTTCCTGACAAACGTCATACGCGATCGATAGTCCGAACAAATAACGTTTTAACTAAAACAATGCGGGCGTCTGTGGAGGATGGAAACGTGACACTTTATCGACTCTGTGTATATATGCCATCTGCTACACGATTGCGAAGCTCCGGGTGTTTTAATAAAAAAATATGTACGTGCACAGTCGTTTTGCTCAAGAAGGAAAATGTGGTCTAGTCGATTCAGCGATGCGTACGGGTGCAAGGAATTCAATTGAGAGAATTCCGGTGGGTTAGAAGAATATAAATCGGCATCCATATTGATTTAGGAATCCATATCAAATTTGCATCGATGGTTTGTGATTGTGTAAAAGCAAGTAACGCGAATGCCACAGTTTACCGGAAATATTATTGCCTGAGTCCATGAGAGAATGTTTCAGTGTATAGGCTGGCGTTTCCTTCTATTCTTTTCTCAAGAGTGTCTGTGCAAAACTAAATCTCGCTACTGTACATATACTAGGCGTGTACGCGTACATGTGTCGATGGGCATGCCGCCTGATTCTACTGTTTTGTGTTCTTACAAAGCCCGTGCATAATCCTTTATAATTTGCTTTATATGTTTTAAAGCCGATGCAGCCTGAACCAGATACAGCCTTCGAGGAAAGAATCAGTAACTCAGAATCTTTGGAATAATATCTGTCGCTCTTCATATGTAGTTCTGTGCTAGTCGCAGTAACTTACAAAAACATTCGGCAGGATGAATATGATTTATTTATCTGTACATACGAAATAGTTATAAATGTAGAAACTATTTTCTGTTAAAGAAGCCATCTTGTACATTGAAACTTTGGAGAAAAAAAAATGGATCCCTTGCTTTTTGTCTTCATATCGTAATATATGTTTACCCCACCCACCGGTCTGGGAGTTCCACCTCCTCCTCCTTCTAGGCTCCTGGAGTCCCTCCTCCACACTACGAACGCGCACGCATGCACGCACGCACGCACACACACACACAAACACACACACACACGCACGCACGCACGCACACACACACACACTGTCAGAGACTTCCCCCCTTCCGTCGGGGACTCCCCCTCACCGTTGGGGATCTTAGCCCCCCTCGGGACACCCCACCCTCACCCCAACGTCGGAGACCTTGGCCCAGTGTCGGGGACCTTAACCCATGTGTCAGGCTAATTGCAATGTGCTATTCCTTTTAGATGAGAAGGCTAAACTTTGCGAGACAGTAGACTGTGGCCGTGACCGCGAATGTGATGTTATCGCTAGTCATGTGACCTGCGTCTGCCTCAAGTTTTGCCCAGACCACGAGAAGAAGGTTGGTAATAATCTGTCCGGTGTTTTGCTAAGCCGTTGGCCATTGGCCTTTGTGCTAATGTATTCCCCTACGCGAGCCTCATAGTTATTACATCAGTGATTAGCTGTTCTTTTTATTCACTATTTTTAATAGGCTGGTCCAATCAGGAATGCTTACAACCACTCAGTCTAGTACTGTACATAGCTTCTGCATTCATTTACTTTGTCAGCCTATGACCTATCAATTTATTTAAATTTGTCTGGGGATTTAGCAAGTGTTGCAATATACTTTCTATTTCAAGTTCAAGTTTGTGGAAAGGCTTTGCAGAACACATTTTGCAATAAAATCACATTTTCAAAGATGTAATTTGAGTGGAAATTCAATCATTTGTATGTTTTTATCAGCTTGATGTAATCATTGGTGCACCATAAAATAGATTTGCGGAAAAGGGTCGATCAATAGACGATAAACGTTTGATTCACACAGATGGTGTTCTCTGATTCATATATAAAACGCGCAGTGCGTATCTTTCACATTACGCTTGAGGGTGGTGGAATGAATAAATGATGAAAAATCTAGAAGAATTGTCACAAAGCAGGCAGCAACTGTTGTTACATCACTGACGCTGTTTCGACCTCTACACTCAGGTGTGTGGAAGCAACAAGAACACATACCAGAACCACTGTGAGTTGCACAGGGATGCCTGCCTCAGTGGTGAAAAGATCAGCATCGAGTATGATGGGGAATGTGTGCCTGGTAGGTGATGAGTATCATATATATTCTTGTGTATGTCCTCATGATATTGTGCATATCTTGGGTTATGTAATTGGTGAGAGTTACGCGTAGGCGTTCTACAACAAGCTGTGCAACAAACAACTACACACTATGCTGATGAGTCGGATCATTTATTAACTTAGTATTTACATGACTGAAAAAAATAGGGTGATTCTCCATTAGGAGTGTTCCCAACTTTAATGTCATTAATGGTCATAATAACATATATATATATATATAATATATATGGTCATGGTCATATATTAGTTTGTGGTTTAATGTCATTTATGTTAGGGTTAGGGTTAGGGTTAGGAATAGGATTATCAATCATTAATCATTAATGATCCTGATGATATCAAAGTTGGGAACATTCCTAATGGAGCGTTAGCCAAAAAATATGAATGAATTCAACCAAGTATAACATATGATTTACAGATGTTACATAAATTAGTTAGAGACGTGGAGTGCGGCTAGACTCGGGGTTTTAGTGGTAATCTATGTAGACAGAGCGTCGCTCGTCTTGTGTGGCTACATTGATGTATAGGGAGAATGGTAAACGTGTTTTAGGTTAGGCGTTTCTAGGGTCATTGTGAAATGAGCGTAGGGACATAGGGCTGTGGGTTAGTTACATATGTGGGGGGGGGGGCAGTTGTGTGGTAGGCTGGGGGGAATATATAGAAGAGAGATTAGAGAGACTGGAGGGACAGAGATGTAGGAGTCCAGGAGTCTGGTTGTCGTCGCGCGAGTAAGCACACGTACGCGCTTATATTACGCGCGTGTGCGCGTTTCGTTGTCTCTTTGTGCAAGATGTGTCTACACTGTGTGCCAGATATTAAAGTTTATTCAGTTTAATACACAAGTTTGGATTCCTTCATTTCATTTATACATCGAAAGTTAATTCAACGTTACACAAGGACTAAACTGTGGTGTTAGTAGGAATGCCTGTGGCCATTGGTGCATTAAATGATTCATACAGGTGATGATGTCTGTATGTCATAGTTCTAGCAAACCAGTTTCGCTGAGGAGATCTACAGTGCCTTTGATTTGGATAATATAGCATGGTATTAAACTGTACCCACTATCCTGAATGATGGTAAATAATTGAAAGGTGCTCCCCCCCCCCCGTGCTGGGGTGTGGCTATCAATGATTCATAGATATATTTCGTAAACATGACAGAGTTCTGAATGTCTCAATTCTCAATATATTATAGAGTGTAATGGGAGTCAATTCGGTACTTAGTCTCTTAAATGGATATGTTCTAGTATCGGGTAGGGTCTTCCCCTAATGTAATTTGCTGTTGTTCTTCAAAGTAAGTCTCTTAACGTAATAGCCAAATCTTCTATTAACCAGATATTAGAGAAAAATAACATGAAAGAGAAAAACAGAAAAGTTTGTGTGTGTACGAATTTCCACAAAAAATAAAGTAAGAAACTTAATCTAGTGTCATGTACGTGGTACTATAGATGCTTGGTTGCCATGGTTACAGACAATACGGATAAGGCGAAGCAGCTAGATGAGAAGCTGAAGGCGAAGCCAATTGTATGCTTCCAACATGAGAGAGATGCTCTGCGTCAGTCACTCATCTCTTGGTTCCAAGCACACACTGATGGCACTGGCCGCAAGGCTTACAGAGAGGTATAGCATGTGGCTGCCCCTCCCCCTGCAGTACCTAGTGCTGCAGTAGTGATATGTTGGCACCTGTTAATGTGTTGCATAGTGGCAGTCAAATCTGATATCAGCACTTACGGTTTTCTACGATAAAGTTACTTTTGAGATTTGTGTTCAAAGGCATTAAGTATTAAACTCGTGTGCGTAATATGCTATAAATCCTCTGCTTTTACAACAGCTCTGTTGCAGTTGTCTATCCCAAACAATCCATAACATTTATGTGTTGCTTCTGCTGTTCGTTCCCAATACCATAAAACTTGGCTTGATATTGCTATAGCAACAGCACTGCTTTGCAAATGTCTATTGTTTGCTAGTCTGTGCCTATCCTGCTTAATGCAGAACTATGTAATTGCAGGTTCTGAAGCATGTCTTTAAGACATGTGATGAGGATAAAAATCAGAGACTCGACTCTACCGAGCTGCTGCTGTGTGTGGCCAAGAACAGAACTAGTGAGCAGCAAAAGGGGAGCTCCACTGATATTCTCAGGTGAGCAGATGGAATGTGGTAATGCTGCCTAACTAAAGTCCTATTAGGGATAGCATTTGTATGTACAATGAGATTTTGTTGTTTATTATTTTAATCCATGTGAAAGTTAAAAAGTTTTTCTACATGTGGGAAATTGGTTATTGCTAGTGTAATTTCGAGTGCAGAATGGAAGTAGATTTGATTTAAGTGAAGGTCTTAGCATTCCATGGGTCAGCAATTTGGCTAGATTATAAGTTAGTTGGAGTACGGTATAAGTTTGGATACAATTTTTATGTAATCGAGACCAACCCAGTGTCACATCACTCTTCGGCATGCTTCCTTTAATTGGGGTTCTCGCACGTCCGACGGACGTGCGGTTGGCATGCTCACAAGTGAAGGGTAAATTGGCGGTGAACCTGAACAGTTGAACAATGTTAGCAATGCGTTGTTATCAGGGGATTGTGCGTGGACGCACTCATTGACTTGGCTGACGCAGACATCGATTGGCGCCTTGATCTTCAGGAGTTCAAGAAGCTGATGAATCAAAACTTCACACCATCAGTTAAGAGTAAGTGATGGAGTAAGAGAGGAGAGAAACGAGAACAGGAAAGCAGAGAGGGAGGAAGACAGAGAGTGTGTGTGTGTGTGTGTGTGTGTGTGCGTGCGTGCGTGCGTGCGTGTGTGCGTGCGTGCGTGTGTGTGAGAAGGAGAGAGATAAAAGGAGAGAAGAGAAGAAGAGAGAGTCCTTTGGAGAGTAGGCATGGCACAATGTTTGTGCTTGTTACCAAAGCAATGAGAAGTGAAAGGGAATTTCATAGTATGCCTTTACGCATATTTGCAATGGCCACGTGCTCTTTTTCAGAGTGTTCATTGGAAGGCAGTGAGTATGACGATGGGGCAGAGACAACTGTAGAATGCAACAAGTGGTAAGACATTGGCACTAATAATTGCTAGCTCGTTATAAGGCGCATCTTGGCACACAGCTGTGGAATCAATAAAGTGGCCGTATAGATTGTAGAGTCAGGCCAAGCCTCCCTCCGTTTCACAATCTCTCTATTCATGCAATACATATCAGCTTGTTTTATCACTCCACACTTAATCTAATCAATATATATTCTATATATCTTCAGATGGTGATTGCCTCATTAAATCGATCAGTCATGTAGGCATTGGGCAGGAGTATTCAAAGTTATAAGGAAGTAGTCTGGCTGGATGAGATCAGGTCACTGTGCAATTCCACCCAAGGCCCTGTAAAACTATTGCATGTGACCACTATGTAAAATTAACTTGAGAATATAAAATAATGGGCAGTTGATGTGTTTATGATGACTAAAGTAATCTCAATTTCACAATCCACTGCAATCAATTAATCATAACAGATCATGTCATATAATGTTTCCACTGAATTGATTTGTGTTATTTTCTACTAGCGTGTGTGCGTGTGGGAACTGGGTATGCACTGCTATTGCATGTGATTCCAAGAATACCGAGACCAAGGAAGCTCCGACAGGTACGTACTACATGGTGGATAGTGTAGAAATGATTTTTGGATTGTTGTAGATGGTGTCAGGGTAGAATACTGTAGTAGTATGGCAGAGAACACTTCTTGTCATGAGCATTCATAACCGTACAGTAGTAAATGTGCAAATGTTCCTTGTACAACTAACTGCATCTCAAAGCCGCAGATATCCGTAATGAAGTTACGTGCGTTCCTTGCAGTACCTGCGTCTGTGATACTGATCAAAAAGCCATAACGTCATGCTCTACATAGCATGAAAGATCTTGATTACAGTCATCTGATCCGTTTTATCGATTACACGATGACGTTTATAAATGCACTGGCATTGAGAAAGCAATGTGGGCATCTTTCTTACTGATTAGCTAATATGTGAAGTCATGTCGTAGCTGCTAAGCAATGCTTGCCGTCAAGAATTTTGCAGTACAGTATCTGAAAAGAGTCGGTTTAATGCCGCATCAGCATAAATATCTAACTCAGTCATGTGAGACCACTAAAATTATTTACTAGCAGATATTACCATGATTATGGCTGCAAAGGTGATTAAACTGCCATCATCTGTAATATTCTGCCAACTGGCTGCTAATACTTTTGTTGTTTTGCTGCAGTTGTTCAGGTGAAAACACATGAGCCCAAAGTTCTCGATTCTGATGAGGAGGTAGACATTTTCCTCAATGACTTTAAGGGACCAGAAGATAAGCTAGAGGTATTTTAGAAGTCTATTTGAATTTTACCACAAATATAATTGAGCTCACCATAAATTCAGTTGCTTTTGTTTAGCTGTCAATGTGTTTTGATGGCTGTGTTTGCATCGATTCAGCATTTTATATGTATTGAATTAGTGTGGGAAATTTATCTAAACATTCGGTCGGTCGGGCATTGCAGGTGGAAAGCGTTTATGGCCACGTCACAGGGAGCAAGAGGAAACATGGAAAGAAACACCACAGGAGAAGACAATAAGAGTGTGATGACCTTCTCAACACCATGTGTGTGGCAGATACCACACACAACTTCTAGCAGCTAACCTCTCTCACATGTTACGTCCAGGAAAACTCTTGCTTATAAACACTTGTTCGAGTGTTGTGTTCTAACGGATATGTGTTTATGCATAGGGATGTCGCCGTTCGTCGTGTGAATATCTGTCCGACCGTACGTGATACATCCTGCGACTTTGTACGCATAAAACGTGTACAATTTTCCCCAATTTACCTGACTCTAATATTTGAGGTGGTAATCTATGCTGTAGGCATATTCATCTGTAATTCTAACAATTTGTACTTTTTCATGCTATAGCCATTTTTGAAGTTTACATATGCATTTCAAGATAATCGTATTGCTTCGTTAATCCAAATAATTGCTTGTATATTTCCAAATTAGAGGTTTGGTATGCAAGTTAGAAAGACATAACAGTGTACCATTATTATAGCTATCTTTATGGCTTATTGACATAATTTTTTAATGATAGCTCCTTTAAACTATACTGTGCACATATATCAATCAAAAGGTGGTAAAATGGTATGATAGGAAGGGCAGGGGAGAAAGAACGTGATGTGTTATCATAAAATATTATTTACACTTACTACAATGATTTAATTGTTTGTGTTGGTGTGAAGTTGCATGAGTATACCCTACCAACTAAAACTATGTAACATGCAAAATAAAAATTTGTGTAAGTGTAATATATGTATTGCATGCTGATTAGCTGTCAGAAATTAAGATAAATATACATGTATATATATATATATATATATATATATATATATATAGTAATAATAA